TATTGTTAGTATATAGGAATGCAACAGATTTCTGTGTATTGATTTTGTATCTTCCAACTTTGCTGAATTCAGTTATTCTAGTAGTTTTCAGATAGATTCTTTAGGGTTTTTTTTATGTACAATATCATGTCATCTGCAAACAGTGACAGTTTAACTTGTTCCTTGTCAGTCTGGATGCTTTTTATTTCTTTGTGTTGTCTGATTGCCGTGGCTAGGACCTCCAGAACTATGTTGAATAAAAGTGGGGAGAGTGGGCATCCTTGTCTTGTTCCTGATCTTAAAGGAAAAGCTTTCAGCTTCTCTCGCTGTTAAGTATGATGTTGGCTGTGGGTTTGTCATATATGACCTTTATGATGTTGAGGTACTTGCCTTCTTCGATTTTGTTAAGACTTTTTATCATGAATGGATGTTGAATTTTGGCGAATGCTTTTTCGGCATCTATGGAAATGATCATGTGGTTTTTGTCCTTTTTGTTGATGTGGTGGATGATGTTGATGGATTTTCTAATATTGTACCATCCTTGCATCCCTGGAATAAATCCTACTTGATCATGATGGATGATCTTTTTGAGGTATTTTTGAATTTGGTTTGCTAATATTTTGTTGAGGATTTTTGCATCTATGTTCATCAGGGATATTGGTCTATACTTTTCTTTTTTGTAGTGTCTTTTCCTGGTTTTGGTATTGGAGTGATGCTGGCCTCATAGGATGACTTTGAAAGTATTCCCTCCTCTTCTACTTTATGGAAAACTTTAAGGAGGATGGATATTTCTTCACTAAATGTTTGATAAAATTCAGCAGTGAAACCATCTGGTCCAGGGCTTTGGTTCTTAGGTAGTTTTTTATTACCAATTCAATCATTGTTGGTGATTGGTCTGTTGAGATTTTCTCTTTCTTCCTGGGTCAGCTTTGGAAGGTTGTATTTTTCTAGAAAGTTGTCCATTTCTTCTAGATTATCCAGTTTATTAGTGTGTAATTTTTCATAGTATTCTCTAATAATTCTTTGTATTTCTGTGGTGTCCATAGTGATTTTTCTTTCTCATTTCTGATTCTGTTTATGTGTGTTGACTCTCTTTTTTTCTTGATAAGTCTGGCTAGGGGCTTACCTATTTTGTTTATTTTCTTGAAGAACCAGCTCCTGTTTTCATTGATTCTTTCTATTGTTTTATTCTTCTCGATTTTATTTATTTTTGCTCTAATCTTTATTATGTCCCTCCCTCTACTGACTTTGGGCCTCATTCTTCTTCTAGTTTCATTAATTGTGAGTTTAGACTGTTTTATGGAAATGTTCTTCTTTCCTGAGGTAGGCCTGAATTGCAATATATTTTCCTCTTAGCACAGCCTTCACTGCATCCCACAGATTTTGTGGTGTTGAGTTGTTGTTGTCATTTGTCTCCATATATTACCTGATCTCTGTTTTTATTTGGTCATTGATCCATTGATTATTTAGGAGCATGCTATTAAGCCTCCATGCGTCATTGAACTTTTTTGTTTTCTTTGAATAATTTATTGCTAGTTTCATACCTTTGTGGTGTGAGAAACTGGCTAGTACAGTTTCAATCCTTTTGAATTTACTGAGGCTCTGTTTGTGGCCTAGTATATGATCTATTCTTGAAAATGTTCCATGTGCACTTGAGAAGAATGTGTATCCTGCTTTTGGGTGAAGAGTTTGGTAGATGTCTGTTAGGTCCATCTGTTCTAGTGTGTTGTTCAGTGCCTCTGTGTCCTTACTTATTTTCTGTCTGGTGGATCTGTCCTTTGGAGTGAGTGGTGGGTTGAAGTCTCCCAAAATGAATGCATTGTATTCTATTACCTCCTTTAATTCTGTTAGTATTTGTTTCACATATGTTGGTGCTCCTGTATTGGGTACACATATATTTATAATGGTTATATCCTCTTGTTGGACTGACCCTTTATCATTATGTAATGTCCTTCTTTGTCTCTTGTTACTGTCTTCGTTTTGAAGTCTGTTTTGTCTAATCAAGTAGTGCAGCTCCTGTTTCCTCCCTATAGTTGCATGAAATATCTTTTTCCATCCCTTGACTTTTAGTCTGTATGTCTTTGGGTTTGAAGTGAGTCTCTTGTAGGCAGCATATAGATATGGCTCTTGTTTTTTTCAGCCATTCAGTGACTCTGTGTCTTTTGATTGGTACACTCAGACCATTTACATTTAGAGTGATTATCGAAAGGATTGTACTTATTGCCATTGCAGACTTTAGATTTGTGGTTACCCTTTACTGACAGTCTAACTTAACTCACTTAGGATGCTATTACAAACACAATCTAATGGTTCTTTTTTTTCTCTCTCTCTCTCTTCCTCCTCCATTCTTTATATATTAGGTATCATATTGCGTAGTACTCTTTTGTCTATCCCTTAACTGACTTTGGGGGTAATTGATTTAATTTTGCATTCACTTACTAATTAATTGGTCTGCTTTCTTTACTGTGGTTTTATTTTCTCTGAAGACAGTTATTTAGCCTTAGGAATACTTCCATCTATAGCAGTCCCTCCAAAATATACTGTAGAGCCAGTTTGTGAGAGGTAAATTCTCTCAACTTTTGCTTATCTGGAAATTGTTTAATCCCTCCTTCAAATTTAAATGAAAATCATTCCGGTTAGAGTATTCTTGGTTCCAGGCCCTTCTGCTTTATTGCATCAAATACATCATGCCACTCCCTTTTGGCCTGTAAGGTGTCTGTTGAGAAGTCTGATGATAGCCTGATGGGTTTTCCTTTGTGTGTGATCTTTTTTCTCTCTCTGGCTGCTTTTAATACTCTGTCCTTATCCTTGATCTTTGCTGTTATAATTATTATATGTCTTGGTGTTGTCTTTCTTGGGTCTGTTGTGTTGGGAGATCTGTGCCTCTCCATGGCCTTAGAGACGACTATATCCTTCCCAAGATTGGGGAAATTTTCAGCAATTACCCTCTCAAAGACACTTTGTATCCCTTTTTCTCTCTCTTCTCCTTCTGGTAACCCTATAATGCGAATATTGTTCCGTTTGGATTGGTCGCACAGTTCTCTCAATATTCTTTCATTCCAGAGATCCTTTTTTCTCTTTGTGCCTCAGCTTCTTTGTATTCTTGTTTTCTAATTTCTGTTTCATTTACCATCTCCTCTGCTTCATCTAATCTTCTTTTAAATCCCTTCATTGTATGTTTCATTTCAGATACTGTATTTTTCAGTTTCTCTCTGATTCTTGAATTCCTCCCTGAGTTCTTGAATATTTTTCTGTGGCTCCATGAGCATGTTAATGATTTTTATTTTGAAATCTCTTTCAAGAAGATTGGTGAGTTCAGTTTTTCACTTGGCCTTCTTTATGGTATTTGTGGGATTTTGGTTTGAATCCTTTGACATTTTATATTTGTAGGTTGTGCCCTCTAGTGCCCAGAAACTCTACTCTCTGGAGTTGCTAGGCCACTGGTGCGATGGTGGGGTTGCCGGTGAGCAGCGCTGGTGCCTGTTGGAAGGGAAGAGCTCTTTACTGCTTCCTGGCTTCAGTGCCTGCCTCCACTGCCAGGGCCAGTGGGCCAAACGTGCAGGGACGACCCTCTATGCTATGCACTTGTAGCTGCCGTAGGTGGAGCCACCCTCTGGCTGGCCTGTTGCAATGGTGGGGGCAGCTGGTTTGTGAGCAGGTACCAGCCAGTAGGAAGGAGCAGCAGGCTGTGTATCATGGTGGGAGGCCTCGTAGCTGTGTTGCCAACCAGGGGGATGGATCGCCTGAAGCTCCTGAAGGTTCCTAACCTGCTGAGCAGAGTGTGCTGCGACTGTCCACCTATCCTTTCTCCTGAGCAGCAAGCTGTGCAGTCCTTGCCCCTTTAGCAGCCCTGTCACTGTTAGGAAGTCTCTCAGAGTGCCCACCTTTCTTTTGTCCCAGAGCAGCCGGTTGTGGGTACCTGTTGTCCACAAGTGGCTGGAATCTCAGTGTCTCCAATATTCCATCTGTCTTAGCTTTCTAACCCCACTAATCTCCAGAGCACCAAGTAATGTGGGTTTGTGCTCCCAGAGCAGATATCAGGGCTGGGTGTTCAGCTGTCTTAGGCCTCCGCCCCCTCTGTGCTCTGTTTCTCTTTCTTGCACTGGTGAGCTGGGGTAGGGGAAGGGCTTGGGTCCTGCCGGATCACGGCTTTAGTACTTTACCCTTTTCCGTGAGGTGTGCTCTTTTCCCAGGTGTAGGCAGTGTGCCCAGCCTTCTTTCCTGTTGCTCTTTCAGGATTAGTTAGTTGTATTTGCTGTACTTTCATATTATATGTGGTTTTGGGAGGAGGTTTCTGTCTCACCTCTCATGCCACCATCTTTTCTGTTTGTTTGTTTTTAAATACTGAACTTTACAGGACACTCAGGACTTTTCTCAACTTCCATGCTCCATGTTCAGAGTTTGGGAAACAAACTGAAATAAAGTAAAGGCTGTTTGAATTGGTGCTTTTTTTTTGTTTTAAGAACCGAATAAAGGTCATAATAGTAAGGCCACTAGTTAAAATTCTAATGGCATAATAAAATCTAAACCAATATCATCATTAAACATTATTTAGCATTTTAGAACTGTGTTGTCCGATATAGTAAGCTCTAGCCACATGTAGCTATTTTAATTAAAATTAAATTAAAAATTCAGTTCCTTTGCTGGCTTCCTCTCAAGTGCCCAGTAAGTTCCATTTGGCTGGTGGCTGCCCTAAGTAAGAGCACAGACACAGAACATTCTCCTCATCACAGAAACTTGTGTTGGATAATGTTCTTCTACAGTATGTTTCATTCTCATTTTAATTGCTGGGATAGCATTAAATATCTGATTTCATCAGCTAATATGCCATTTTTTCCTGGGAACTTGACTGATTATAGGAGAGCCCCTAAATGCCACTGAGTGTGCCAGAACGCTGGGCCTGGGTCTCTCATCTTGGCAGTCCAGGGGCCACCACAGCAGTGGGCATTGCCGCCCCTGGCTGGGTGTCAGTGGTGGATCAGTTTGCTGGCTGAGTGAGCTCAGGTGTTGTTCATGTCTAGATGATGATGATGATGAGCCAGAAGGCGACGACCACGAGGTGAGAGATAAGACTCTGCCCAGGTGGCAGGTCTGGCTCGCTGCTGAGCGCTCCCGAGACCAGAGGCACTGGTGGCCGTGGCGCCCCGATAAGACTAAGAAGCAAACCGAGGAAGACTGTGAGGACCCAGAGAGACAGGCAAGTACCCCACCCCAGGACTGGCAGTGGGGTCTTTGCCTTCTCCCCATTCCCTTTGGGTTTTGGTTACCCAAGGTCAGTGGGCTCTCTGAGCACTTGCGTGGCTCAGGAGATGCTAACCTGTTCCTGTGTATGGAAACTTCCCCCTTTCTGAAACCAGGGTAGGACTCCATTGGCCGCTGGTGATGTGGAGCAGAGGCACTTGGCCTGCTCTTCCTGTCTCTGAGTAGGACAGGAGGCTCCCATGGTTATTCCGCTGGAGATCGTCTTCCAGGTCACTCCAGTTAATTTTTCACATGGAAGCCCGAGGGCTCAGGATTAAAAAATGCATAATCACTGTCTTCAGTTCTTTGACCGGGTCCACTTTCCCACCCCACTCTCGGATCCTCATGTACGTAGCAGACAGGTTTGACTCCAGAAGACAAGAGTGACTGGGTGTAGAGGCCATACGGGGACAGCCATATACAGCTTGTCATACTGGGGAAGGACCTCATAGTTACTGAATCCTGTGGTGTGCTTAGGCACCACGTATCTTGTTGTGTGACTCTGTGTGTGCTACTCTGGCCAGCAGCTGTACATTAAATAAAAGAGATTCTATTTTGATATCTGGAATTGACCCAGTTTCACAAGATACCATGTATATTGCTTGGCATGCAACATATTACAGATACAGACCTAGAGTTCTCATCACAGCGAGCCTTGCTAGCTCTGGCATGGTTTGTCGTCTGTGACCCTCCCTACAAGTCATGTATCTGGAAGGTGAAGATTTTCGCCTGCTTCTTCACGGCTGAATCGCGGTGCCCAGACGGTGCTTGTCCTTTCGTGAGTGCTTGTTTCATACCCCCGGATGCTGGATGAGTAGCTGATGCCAGAGCTTCTGCTCTAGGCAGAAGAATAAGCATGAGTAAAGGCCCCAGAGTTCCCAGAACATTTGAAGAGTGGTGAATGGGGCGGCCAGACTGGACTTAGGACAAGAAAATTGGGAGTAGAGAAAGAGGTGATCCCTGGGCAGGAAGGAGGAGCCAACTTCCTGGGAAACCTCAGCTGCCTGGAATGCGTGGTGAGGGACTGTTATGAGGTGAGTCTACACATGAGGTCCCTTTCCTGGCTGAAACTGAATATTTTTAGGGAAGAGTGGGGTGTGCTTTGGTGTTTTAGGATTTTACAGAGTTCACTGTCACCCTTCGAGAAGCTAGTTCTCAAGGCTCTGAACTTTGGCCATCTCCTGGAAGCCGATTTCTGTAGCGAACTGCTGTGAGCAGTTTCTTGTCGCTCTTCCTCTAATCAAAGCCTGGAGGAGAGAACCTTTCTGATTAATTGATGGTGTTGATGAGTCGAATCACAAGTAGCCCGTTCTGTTGTGCTCATATTTTGATTTCCTCTTTTGCTGAGAGTCACAAAGACCAGTCTGATAAGCAGCACCTTGAGACAGAAGGTAGTCTCTGGGGCCTTAGGTTTTGAAGTTATTGCATGAAACCATCTACGAACATTATAGTCGGTATTAGGCTCTTTTAATTGCTTCTACCCCCAGTCTGTTGCTCCTGTGTTTCCTTCTTACCTTGCTGCTGTTTATCTAATTTTCAGCATATTTTTCCTGAATCAATTTTGTGCAAAGAAACCACAAATTAGTAAAGTACTTATTTTCTATCTTGAACAGTTTTCATGATTATAACCTAATTAAAGTTGCAAAAGCAGGTATGTGTGCTTCTTGAATAGGCTTCTAGACTTTCTGTGTATCCATTAGGCTACTTTGAAAGTGTTCTGGCTTAAACTTTCCCTCATGCCAAGAATCCATAGGAAATGCAGAAAGGGCTCCCCCCAGTTACCCTGCTCCCAGTTGCCTGGTGAGGCCTCTAGGTCTTTTGCATCTTGCAGAAAACCCAGCTCTTGTCTAAAATTTAATTAAAATAATGTTGACTCATTAGTGTATCAAACAGAAAGAGTTATGGTGAAACTAGCAAGGTTTTTGTTGCTAAAAAAACTAAACTTCTGAGTCAGCGGTTTGATTTTTGTCTCATGGCAGGTGTTGTTTGATGACATTGCACAGTCTCTGATTCAGCTTTCCAGCCTAGATCTGCAGTTCCAGCTGATTGCGGCCTTCCTGCAGTTCCTGGGTGTGCCTTCTGGCCTCAGCTTTCCAGATTCCTGCCGCTATCTGGCCATGGATGAAAACAGCATCTTCGATAACGGACTCTGTGATGAAAAGCCATTGACTTCTCTCAATCTTTCATTTTCTGGCATCAGCTGTGTTGGCCGCACGGACCAGTTGGGCTGTCGGCGCTGGGCCAGGGGTCACAGTCGGGAGGGTGAGGAGTTCATCCGCAATGTCTTTCACCTTGTGCTGCCTTTGTTCTCAGGCAAGGAGAGGTCTGAGCTCTGCTTCTCCTGGTTACGGTACGAGATTGCAAAGGTCAGTCTGGCCTCCCTGCCACCCTGTGTGGGGACCTCATTTCCTTTCAGTGTTCATAAATGGGTTCTCAAAGCTCTTGGTGTTCTTCGGGACACTGGGCAACAGCACCTCCTTCTTCAGGGACCCTGAAGGCCCCTGGTATGTGGCTGACCCTCCTGAGGGGCCGCGGTGGAGAGGAGGAAAGCAGGACTGGGTCCAGCGTCAGCGACTTGGATGTGTTTACTGTGTTCATTCTTGTAGTACCGGATGTCTGTGATTGCATGAGTAGTTAGGTAAGAACCAAGCTTAAGCTGGGTTAGTGAATTTGAGGGTTTACTAGAATAGATAAACTACTTAGCCTGCTCTTTATGTGTGTCGGCTAGAATTCATCAAGGACTGACTCTTCTGCCCTCTGTTGGCCAGCAGTTAGTATTGCGTCTTAACCTCTAATGTGACGCTTAAAGCTGCAGATTACACACACCAGGTAGTATTACTAAATAATGTCTGAGAAAAGTTGGTGGCCACCTCTCTTTGGAGAAGAATTATTGGCGTATGTAAGCCTTGCTTATATAGGGTTCCAGTGGAAACCTGGATTATGGTCATTTGGGGGCACCTATGGCTTGTTAAAGTCCTGATTTGCTTCCTGGCTCAGAGAGCCTACACGCTTACCAAATGTGTGATGAAGGAAGGATGTGTAGATGCCTTATGTGACTTAAAGTTGACGGTACAAAGGGATTGCTTTAAAATCCCAGAGCACTTGGGATTCATTCTTTCCTTTTTACCTCTAGGTCATTTGGTGTCTACACACTAAAAACAAGAAGAGATTAAAGTCACAAGGAAAGAACTGCAAAAAACTAGCTAAGAATCTTCTCAAAGAGCCAGAAAACCGCAACAACTTTTGCCTGTGGAAGCAGTATGCATATCTGGAGTGGTTGCTTGGCAACACAGAGGATGCCAGGAAAGTTTTTGATACAGCGCTCAGCATGGTGGGGAGCAGAGAACTGAAGGATCATGAACTCTGTGAGCTCAGTCTCCTGTATGCTGCACTGGAGGCGGAGCTGTCGCCAGACTTGGGAGGGGCCACCACAGCCCGAGCTGTTCACATATTAACCAGACTGACTGAGAGCGGTCCCTGTGGGCCCTACACCGGGCAGGTCTCGGCCGTTCACATTTTGAAAGCTCGGAAGGTTTATGAGCACGCCTTGCAGGACTGTTTGGGTGAGAGCTGTGTCTCTGATACGGCTCCCACCGATTCTTGGAAGCGCCTGATAAGCCTAGTTAAATGCTTTATGCTTTTCCAGTATCTGACTGTAGGCATCAATGCTGCTGTGCAGATATATGAGCAGGTGTTTGCAAGACTGAAGGGCTCTGTTTCCCCAGCAGGTGCCAGCCTGGAGGACAGTGCCAGCCCTCTGGGTCTGAGCAGTGTTCTCGAGGCCGTCACCTTGATGCACACGAGCCTGCTCAGGTTCCACATGAAGGTCAGTGTTTACCCGCTGGCTCCCCTGAGAGAAGCACTCTCTGAGGCTTTAAAGTTATACCCAGGCAACCAGGTTCTTTGGAGGTCATACGTACAGATTCAGAATAAGTCCCACAATGCCAGTAAGACCAGAAGATTCTTTGATGCAATCACCAGGTCTGCCAAACCCTTGGAGCCTTGGTTGTTTGCAATTGAAGCTGAGAAAATGAGGAAAAGACTGGTGGAAAGTGTCCAGAGGTAATTACAGGTCATCTTGTTCATGTGTCCACAAACCTTTATGGAATGTTTGCCGTGTTCCCACCACCTTGCTAGGCCTCAAGAATACAGAAAAGAATATGGACCAGTGCCTAGAACATCTGCTGTGGGTTCTAAATATAGAATAGCACTGAAAGGAATGACAGACTTGGAAGTAGACACAACTTTCATTAGAGGCTTTTGTCACTAAATTCCTGGGCCATGGTTTTGGGGATCCAGACTGTTGCCTCTGGTGCATGCGTGCTGTCTCTCCAGCTTCAGGTACCTGAGAAGTTGTAGTGAATGCATAATAGGGAAGAACACAGGCTCTGGAGTTGAACTCTGGATTCAAATCCCAGGTCCCCTTATCAGATGGATGACCTTGGGCAAGTCACTTTACCTTAGTAATAGGTTCTGCTTCTATAAAATGGAAATAGTAAAGAACCTGCCACAGGGAGTTGATCAGACGGCTCAGTGTGGTTCGTGCTGAGTACCAAGAATGTGAAATAATCATTACTTGTGTTGTTATTGCTGATGTGTCATGTTGTAAATGTCATCTTCTGGTACAGCATTATATATGTGAAGGTAAATGAGTCTCAGAAACATGTAAGCCTAGGCATCATTGTTCCTTCCAGATCTTTGCCTCTGAATAGTATTTCACATTACTTGGTTTTTACTTTTTGCATTGGGATTTTATTCACTCTACTTTTTCTACTTTAAATTGAAAAGTTTTTCCTTCTCATAAAGTACAATTTGCATTCTTCTGATTAAAGGGTAGGTTTTCTTTAGCAAACTGAGAGGCAAGAATTTGTGTGTGACTAGTAGGCAGACTGTGTGATGTAAAAACCGCAGAACCTCAGGCACTGCCTTTCTCTGGCCTTGGAGGAACCACATTATACCTGTACTCCCACCCCAGCACCCCCAGCCCTGAGGGACAGCTCTGCCCCTGCCGTGCGCTGATCCAGTCATGGCTGATGTTTGCTACCACTAACATACCTCTTCCTGCCTCGATGGAGGGTGTGCACACTGGCCTCAGAGTTACGTGAGCCTTTGTCTTGCAGGGTAGATGGTAGAGAGGTCCACGCCACAATTCCTGAGACCGGCTTGACACACCGGATCAAAGCCCTGTTCGAAAATGCGATGCAGCGTGACAGCGGCAGCCAGTGCCCCTTACTGTGGAGGATGTATTTGAATTTTTTGGTAAGAATATCAAGTTTTTGTCTTCATGCAGAGCTCTGTTTCTTCCCTGGTAAGTGGGGAAGTGCAGGTGTCCCGTCGCCACTGTGGGGAAAGCTGGGAGGGGCTGGCTTCCCCCTCACACCTTCTTGGCCTTGGTCAGCCCTCAGGGAGACCCCGTGGGGTAATGCCAGCTCTCTCAGGCCGTGGGGATGGGTCTGCTGTTGCCTTCTGCTCGGGGCCTTGCAGAGTGACAGTGAGGAGTGACTGCCGGGCTCTAGGATGTGGCAGAGCTCCCTGTGGGTGTCCCCGAGGGCCTGCAATCTTTCGACAGCTTGGAAGTAGGCTAAGTGCTTTTATTTGAAAAAGACCTGAATTCTTTGCCATTCAACTTATAAAAATGTATAGGTCCTGATTCTGTTATGTTACTACAAAGAGAAGATTTGATCTAGAATCTGGTTTTTAAAAGAGACATTTCCAAAGCAGCTGGTTTCTCTTGAAAGTGCCATAGATACTGAATGTGGTGAGATGACACTGCATTTTGTTAACACGACGTGCTGGCTGAAAGGTGGTTCTTGGGCTGCTCGGAGTCTGTGAATGTTTTTTAGAAACACAGTCTCCTGGACCACTTGAATGTTTTAAGTCAAGGCTACTAAGTCATACGAGTGACCTCCAGTGAATATTGTGCCTTTCAGAAGCCGGGAGTGGCCTTTCTTGTACATAAATCTTATGTATATCTGATTATTTCCATAGGATAAATTCTCAAAAGTCAATCAGAGTATTTGAAAATTTCCAGCTGGCATGTGACAGAGTCAGGTGTAAAGAGATACAGAGAGTAAGTCAGGGGCTAGAAGTTTGGGCCTGCCTCTGTCTTCTTAGATTCCAGAATTGATGTGCTTCCCCTGACCTCTGGAGGGCCTGAGTGGCAGCGGGGGAGCCTTATCTCAGGACAGCAGCTCAAATAGGCACCCTCAGGACAAACGGGCATATCCTTATGGGCACAAATTGGCATCAACATGAATCACTACAAAAGTTTGTATGTTTTTAACCTTTATTCTTCAGACCCAGAAGCTCAGATTTCACGTCTAGACTCCTGGTGTGAAATGGAAATACAGAAGCCCAGTGCTGGTGTGGGAAGGCGCATTCACAGCCCACCAGTAGCTGCTGCCAGTCAGTCAGAGGTGGCAGCTTGGGCAGCAGCCAGAAGTGGGTTTGGTCGAACCACCACTCCGGTTGTTAGGCCATTCACCCAGCAGAGCAGATCACAGCTTCGCTAATATTTCTAGTGCTGGTGTTACGCGGTCTTTCTAAGCAAATGAAATCCTTTGAAGGCAAAAAGGGAGAGCGGGCAGATTTGCCAGTTTAAGTGCCCCCGCATTCTGTAGATAGGGATGGACAGGGTCAAGAGCAGACTGAGAGCATTTCTACTGCAGTCTACATGAGTGTCTTGCCAGAGGGTTTCAGGCCCGGGTAAGTTTGCTATGGATTCAGTGTGACCAAAGAAAATTGACAGCAGAACACTCTTTGGGGTGAAAGGGTTATACCCAACTTTATTTCCACAGTGGCAGGTCAGTCACTAGAATCTCATTCACTCAGAGCGAGTCTGCATGCAGCAAGCCGGTCTCTGCCTCTGGGCCCCTCTCTGCCCAGCCGTCCTCTGGGCTTCTCTGCACAGCCGTCCTCTGGGCTTCTCTGCCTGCACAGCAGTCCCACACAGTCGTCCCGCACAGCTGTCCTCTGGGCCTCTGTGCACAGTCGTCCCACACAGCCGCCCTCTCCGCTCCAGCCTCTGCTCTGCTCTCCTGCAGCCTTGCAGCCCTGCCACTGTGTCGCACCCAGAGCACTCGGGGGAGCTCTTTTTATAGAGTCAACAGCCATGTATTGCCCACAGGTGTGCAGTGAGCTAGTCAGCCACGGCCAGGTGAGAATCCTGGCCACAGGAACTCTCATTTTATCCACAATGAGCCAAGTCTGTTTGGGTTGTAGACAGAAAGAATTCTTGTTGAAATGGAGAAGAAGATCAAAGCCCTGTCCTTTTGAAAAGGTTAGACAGCCTTGGACCAAGGATTGACTAGAACAGTGGCTTCCCCAGCAGCCCCTGAGCTATCTCTGTGGGCGCAGAGAAGAGAATCAGATCCTGCAAAAGCCCAGAGACTTTCAGCTGCGTTTTCTTAGAGATAATGCTTCCCCCATGTGGAGGTGGCACACATCAGATAAGAAGATACAGAGCAAGTGATTACTAAGCACTGAACAGCTCCTCTGACTGGAGAGCTGGAACACCTGTTCTGTTACGGAAGGTGGGCCACTGTGCTCCACACGGCGAGACCCTCCCCTCCCCACCTGTGTGGGCAGAGTCACTAACCCAGCTCAGCTCTGGGCACAGCACGAGGGCTCTCTGGAGACTCCCCTCCTCCGTTCACGAGGGGCTCGTGTGCCGAGTCCTGCATGTGGTGCCTGAGAGACTTAGTTCCTGGGGCTTGGTTCCCGACAAAAGAGTGGCCTCTGAAACGTTCGCTCCTGCTTCTCTCTGGAGGCTGTCCTCAGTTCTATGCAGTTAGTGCCTAGTGTTCCCAGTCTGCCTGAGGAGCCACAATACCGTGGGGTGAGGGGCATGCATGCAAGTCACCCACCTGTTAAAGTTCAGCCCTGACTTGGGGGCTTTACGTTTAGTTGGAGAAATGGAGGTGAGAAAGGAGGACATAGAGAGCCAGGGTAGCGCTCACAAACTTTTCTTCCCTTGGAGGCTCTGCTCTAGGGAGTGGGGAAAGATAGTACAAGGCCATGTCCTAGCTTATGAAACCCAAGGGGGAAAGACCAGCAGTCGCCACCATGTGTTCACCGGGCACTGAACCTTTCCGTACCTGCTACAGCAAAGGCGTTTTCCAGTGGCCGCTTGATGAAGGAAATCGCAGATAGCAATTCTCATGTTAGACTAGCCAACTGTGTACCTGGATTTTCTGGGTTCCAGGATTATCTGTGAATCTCACAAATACAGTGGTTGAGAAAGTACAGGGATAAAAAATTTTTTCCTTCTTCAAAAACAAGGAAACAATGTCTTAACAGCATTAGGATCCATGTCCCAACTGTGCCTTGCAGAGCCCAGGTCTTAAGTTTAGTCAGTATTTTAAGAGAGGACATTCCAGTATTTTGGCATGTGAAGCAAGGACAGTTCACACTGCTCCTCAGGTGTGAATTCAGAGGTCCAGCCTCAGAATGGCCAAAGCTCAGGCCAGGGAGGGAGGACGGGACCGTAGGCCATGCAGCTGGCTCTGGGTGGCACTCGGAGGGGCTGGGGAAAGCCCGAGCCTTGCCTGCTCTGTGGTGAGTGAGGCCATCACAGATGTGGGAGTTCACCTGAGGCACGGGAAAGGCAGTGAGGCTGTCCTCAGGTGACGGCGCTCCTGCGCCACAGGCGGGTCTCCGGGACGCTGGTCCGCAGCCCTCCCTGGTCCGCGCCTGACACCGTCCGTGGAAGGCTCTCCTGGGGGATGGAAGTCTGGAGGAGGGGCGGGTGGGACGCCCAGATGCAGCCTTCAGCTCCAGGAGTCACTCGTGCCCACTTGCAGCTGCAGGAGCCCTGGCCGGGGGAGCTGCCCGCTGGCCTACAGTGCCCTGGAGGAGCTGCCGGGGGACAGATCCTGGGATGCGGGTGGGGAGGCACACTGGCTGCGGTTTCCACAGCAGGTCTGGGAGACAGCGCGTGTGTGAGTGGAGACTAAGGGTTCTCTACCTAGGGAGAGAACCCGCTGGCTACCTGCATGCTGCGGACTGAAGTTCGTGACTGAGAGCAAACTTGATGAGGTTACTGATCCAGCAATCCTGGTTATCCCGGTTCTCTGACAGTTTTCAGATGGCTTTAGTGTAGTCATCAGGCTCATCTCACACAGTCTTGCTGTAGACCCCGTAAGCATGATGGCCCACAGCAGAGGAGACATACAAGGCAGATCAGCGCTCCGGGCCCATTGGTGGACGGAGCCCTGAGGGGCCCCAGGTGCAGACGCACACCAGCAGCCACTGTGGTGGGCCGCGCCACCCCCTCTAAGGCTGCTCACTGTGGCTTGGGAGATCCCCACCGTGGATTAGTACAGGGGTGGCTTTTGTAGGCTTAGACTCTCTTTCAGTTAGTTATTTTTTGTATTTTTCCTCACCTCAGGTTTCCTTAGGAAATAAAGAAAGAAGCAAAGGTGTGTTCTACAAAGCACTTCAGAATTGTCCTTGGGCAAAGGTAAGTTCTAGAGACCCTGGTGTTCCTAGATTCCCAAGGACATTCTGCCAAGCCTCCATCCACCAGGGTCTGCCTGGGCCACCTGTGTCATTAGGGCCAGAGCACATCCCGGCCTTTTCATAGTGAGACTGTCCCCTAGGGAGCTTGGGCCTGATGGGCAAGTTTCCTTTCCCTACACTGGAGCTGGTATTTCATGGGTGACTTGCTGAGGGCAGCTGGTTTCCCAGCATTTGCCGGAAGCTTGGCACAAATGCTAAAGGCATTGGAATCCATGTCCCAACTCTGCTTTGCAGGGCCCAGGTCAGGAACCAAGTTGATGGTGGCTGTCATGTCTGCCAACAACTTCTGGCCCCCCCTTTGGGAAGAAAGGCCTTGGCGTTCCCCTTGCTGTGCCCTGCAGTGGCAAATTGTGTCCTTTCTGAAGCATGCTGGCGTGCTGCTGAGCTGGGACAGCTGCGGAAGCGGCGGCAGGAGGGCGGGCTCCCTAGGAAGTGGCTGGCTGACGGGCGGTGGCCCCCTGCCCTAGGTGCTGTACATGGACGCTGTGGACTATTTCCCTGATGAGATGCACGAGATCCTGGACCTGATGACTGAGAAGGAGCTCCGGGTGCGCCTGCCGCTGGAGGAACTGGAGCTTCTGCTTGAGGACTAGAGACCAGGACAGGGGCCGAAGCCATGCCTCTGAGGCCTCATCACAGACTACCACGCGCCAGGATGGACGAGAGACCGTGACGCACGCGCGTTTGAGTGTGTGTGCAGCCCTCTGCTTTTGAAGGTTCCCTTGGTAATTTGTGTGTGGGTTATCAGTCTCTCACCTCTTGCACATTTTTTTTGATGTGCAAATGACAAAAGCTATCAGTCTACATTGTATGTAAATGTTTATATGGACAGAAAACAATCGTGCCGCGTAGTAACTAAACCCATCGTGCTTGGTGTGCACGGTCATCTGTTCTGTTCTTCCTCTGCCCAGCCAGCTCCAGCCGTATGTACCCCATTTTACATCCTTGGGTCCTGCCAAGTCTTCTGGGTCTTGCCATCACAGTAAGAAAGCTCTTGTTACTCAACGCTAGGACCTCCTCCCCTGGGCTGTCAGTGAGAGACTTTGCCCTTCAGAACAGCAGTGGGGAGTCATTTAAAACTTAGTGTCCCAGCCTGTGTCAAGTGTTCAAAGTTTTTCATGATTCCCTAAGCCCTACTCAGAGATGCCTGTCTGTGGACCAGCAGTATCACCTGGGAGCCTAGTAGAAATGCAGACGGTCCCCCAGCCCTGCCAAGACTGAATCTGCACTCAAACAGGCCCCCCGCTGCAGGGAAGCGTGCGGGAGAGCAGCCTCTTAGCACGGAGCCTCTCAGCCTTCGCCAGACCAGCCCTGTCTGCGCCATGTGCTCCAGGTGCACGTTGGCACATGGGCACTGCCTGGTATGGAGGCCTGACAGGCTGTGCTCTTTTCATTTCTGAGGGCCATGAAAGGAATGAAATGGAAGTACCCACACTCAGGCCATTTATCGTCATGAAGAGATTTAGTGCCTTGCAGTCATTTTCACCACTAATAACAGTTGGGAGGAAACTGCTTTATCTTCTTTGAGGTCCTGCTCTAAAAAAAAAAACCTCTGGCTTTTTAAAAAATTATCTAATTGCTGAAGACATATTTCTTTGGCACTTCATCCAGAAAAGCTTGTGTTGTGGAATAGAATTTTGGCTAGAAACCAGACACTCATTGGGAAAAGGCAGGAAGGGCAACAGAGCTACTGTACTTCCTGGGATGGCACCTCAGAGCACCCAGGAAGCTGGCCAGCCAACCAGGTGGTTGCTGACCTTGATCTGCCCCGCTCACTGGCTTTAAGACTGTACGTACTGTTCAGGAAGGAAAGGGAAGCCAGGAGATGGAGAGAAGAGGACGCTCTGACACTCCTGAGAGGGATGAGGCTTCTGAGCCGAGGACAGGGGCAGCAGGCTGGCTGAGGTCTCCAGCCCTGACCCTCTGAGACTTCTCTTAGGAACCCTCAATCTCTAGCAACACCAACACTTCTTTCCCACTCCCAGAGGGCAGAGAACCTCATAGTTCACAGACCTTCCAAAAGGGAAACAGCCTTGTTGCTTAAGGCTTTGTGGTCATGACCCTCTTTTCCCCATCAGCTGCTGCTGTACGAATCTACCGCTTTCTCTGGGGGTGGGCGGGGTTGGGGGGGGCAACAGGCATTGACGTCTGAATTCCTTGTGATCGCCCAGAACTTCCCAACACCCGGACCTAGCTGCTAGTTAATGCTGAGCAGCAGGTATGAAGGCTCCAGAAACAGGCTGAACAGTTTGAGAAGGAGCATGCTTTACTGGGAGGAGAGCACTGCGCTGACCCACAGACCAGCGCGGCCCCGCCGGCATCCTACCACCATGCTCAAAAAGGTACACGGATGTTCTGTTAAAAAAGATCGACTGGAACGTGGATTTCACCAGGCAGTTTCTCTGACCTCATCTTTCTGAGGGGGTCAGGAGACTCCCAACCATTTCCTTATAGGCAACTGTGGTCCACTAGAGATAGAGCCCCTCAGGGGTACCTTCTTGTTTTTTATAAAGAACATTTTCTTTAGATTTTTTGAAGTCTTCATTTGTTACTTTCATTCTTCGTTCCCTCAAGGCCATCAGACCAGCTTCTGTGCAGATTGCCTGTAAGAACAGTATGTTCAGAAAGTGAAGTAATTTTTACTTTTTTTCTAACTCAGAGCAAGCTATTTTGAAATAAGGTATAAAACACCCAGACTAAACACCAATTACGTGAACCACTTGGGAAAAGATGGGACTTTTTATAATGTTTTAAGCATTCTAATTATTTTCTCAAAGGATGTGAGGTGGTTTAAACTGGGAGTGATTAAGAAAGAAGACTTGGCGCAGGAATTGAGGCTCTGGGTTCTGACCAGCTTTGTGGCCTGGCAGGTCACTAAGTTCTCACAGCTCTACTTTCATTAAAGGGAGTAGTATTCCCAGGAAATAGATGAAATTCAGAAATTAAGGCAACACAGACATCCATTTCATTTACTTATAGTCATAGGCAACGTAGTATTTTAAGTTTCGGCACAGTATTTATTTTCTCAACGATTACTTGCAAAAGTAAAACAACCTATGGAACATGATGTGATAAAAACATTAAAAACTAATTCTGGTACTGAAGTTTCTATCTGGTTATAGCCCTCATGATACTTATTTCAAATGGTTTAGTTAGAAAATAAAGTGTGTGTGTATATACAGAAATCAGGTAAAATGGCAACTTTCTGTAAATCAAAGTGATGGGTATATGCAACTTTTGTGAAGCCTTGAAATTTTTCAAAAACTGGAGCAAAATTTTTTAAGAATTTCAATTTTGATGAGTGATTTTACTCACCAACTAAGTTACTAACCTAGTTCTATAGATGCCAACAACATGCAGCTCAGTGCAGGTACCAGGATGAAAAGGCCCGGCGTGTGCTTTCCCTTCCCAATGAGAGCATTTACGCCTACAGACTCAGGGCTTCCCAGGAAAAGCAGGTCATACCATACTTAGTGCTGTGCGCCCTGCTCTGAAGTCCTAATTATACACAAATGTGATGACAGTAGGAGGTACAATCCAGCCCAGGTTCTCACCTTGATGTCAGCACCTGAAAGATCATCTTTAGCCATGATCAAGTCGTCCAGGGTTACATCATCGGCCAGTGTCATCCTGCTTGTGTGGATCTGAAAGATGCGCTTCTTGGTCTTCTCATCAGGCAGGGGGAACTCTATCTTCCTGTCAATGCGGCCTGCAGGTGTAAAAGGTTTGTCAGTCACACCCATGCAGCTCCCAGACTCTGCCCTGGCTCAGGAAAAGGCCTTACTTAGCCCCTCTCTTCACACATTCTGTTTCAGACAGTATCCTGTGGGAAGGTTGTCCAAATATTAAAAAGTGGGCATTCAGCTTTGTAGTTCGTAAATGTCTACATTTGAGTTCATACCACTTAAAATCCTCTATGCTCGTACCTTCAGAAACAAGTGAAAGTAGTTTCTGACTGGCATGGTTAGTGAACAGGTCAGTTGTGTTAAAAGTAAAAAGATTAGCTACTGCTTCTTTTGGTGTCACCTCAAATGTAAAAACTGAACCTGAGCTATCATAATGAATTATTTCTTTAAACAAAGCTCGAGGCTAAAAATGGAATGTTCATTATGGGAAACAAAGATCCTGATGTAAGACTGGAATTCAAAACTGCACAGACTACATGAGAAAGAAGTTTTGGTTAACTTATTCTAATTTTCAATATAGTATTTGTCTTCATGTGTATCATTTTATAATCCCCCCTCCAAAAATGACTTGAACACAAGTACATATAAGCACATGAATTCTCCGTGATGAAACAAGAGCGAATCTGACCTGGTCTGATTAGTGCTGGATCCAGAGTTTCTATTCTGTTTGTGGCCATGATAACTTTCACATCTCCCCTTGAATCAAATCCATCCAGTTGGTTCAACAGTTCCAACATTGTTCGCTGAATTTCTCTCTCCCCACCAGAATTTGAGTCATATCTTTGGAAAAGAGAAAGAGAAGGAATGAAGACCCAATATTTCTGAGGGCCATGAAAGGAATGAAATGGAAGTACCCACACTCAGGCCATTTATCGTCATGAAGAGATTTAGTGCCTTGCAGTCATTTTCACCACTAATAACAGTTGGGAGGAAACTGCTTTATCTTCTTTGAGGTCCTGCTCTAAAAAAAAAAACCTCTGGCTTTTTAAAAAATTATCTAATTGCTGAAGACATATTTCTTTGGCACTTCATCCAGAAAAGCTTGTGTTGTGGAATAGAATTTTGGCTAGAAACCAGACACTCATTGGGAAAAGGCAGGAAGGGCAACAGAGCTACTGTACTTCCTGGGATGGCACCTCAGAGCACCCAGGAAGCTGGCCAGCCAACCAGGTGGTTGCTGACCTTGATCTGCCCCGCTCACTGGCTTTAAGACTGTACGTACTGTTCAGGAAGGAAAGGGAAGCCAGGAGATGGAGAGAAGAGGACGCTCTGACACTCCTGAGAGGGATGAGGCTTCTGAGCCGAGGACAGGGGCAGCAGGCTGGCTGAGGTCTAGCCCTGACCCTCTGAGACTTCTCTTAGGAACCCTCAATCTCTAGCAACACCAGCACTTCTTTCCCACTCCCAGAGGGCAGAGAACCTCATAGTTCACAGACCTTCCAAAAGGGAAACAGCCTTGTTGCTTAAGGCTTTGTGGTCATGACCCTCTTTTCCCCATCAGCTGCTGCTGTACGAATCTACCGCTTTCTCTGGGGGTGGGCGGGGTTGGGGGGGGCAACAGGCATTGACGTCTGAATTCCTTGTGATCGCCCAGAACTTCCCAACACCCGGACCTAGCTGCTAGTTAATGCTGAGCAGCAGGTATGAAGGCTCCAGAAACAGGCTGAACAGTTTGAGAAGGAGCATGCTTTACTGGGAGGAGAGCACTGTGCTGACCCACAGACCAGCGCGGCCCCGCCGGCATCCTACCACCATGCTCAAAAAGGTACACGGATGTTCTGTTAAAAAAGATTGACTGGAACGTGGATTTCACCAGGCAGTTTCTCTGACCTCATCTTTCTGAGGGGGTCAGGAGACTCCCAACCATTTCCTTATAGGCAACTGTGGTCCACTAGAGATAGAGCCCCTCAGGGGTACCTTCTTGTTTTTTATAAAGAACATTTTCTTTAGATTTTTTGAAGTCTTCATTTGTTACTTTCATTCTTCGTTCCCTCAAGGCCATCAGACCAGCTTCTGTGCAGATTGCCTGTAAGAACAGTATGTTCAGAAAGTGAAGTAATTTTTACTTTTTTTCTAACTCAGAGCAAGCTATTTTGAAATAAGGTATAAAACACCCAGACTAAACACCAATTACGTGAACCACTTGGGAAAAGATGGGACTTTTTATAATGTTTTAAGCATTCTAATTATTTTCTCAAAGGATGTGAGGTGGTTTAAACTGGGAGTGATTAAGAAAGAAGACTTGGCGCAGGAATTGAGGCTCTGGGTTCTGACCAGCTTTGTGGCCTGGCAGGTCACTAAGTTCTCACAGCTCTACTTTCATTAAAGGGAGTAGTATTCCCAGGAAATAGATGAAATTCAGAAATTAAGGCAACACAGACATCCATTTCATTTACTTATAGTCATAGGCAACGTAGTATTTTAAGTTTCGGCACAGTATTTATTTTCTCAACGATTACTTGCAAAAGTAAAACAACCTATGGAACATGATGTGATAAAAACATTAAAAACTAATTCTGGTACTGAAGTTTCTATCTGGTTATAGCCCTCATGATACTTATTTCAAATGGTTTAGTTAGAAAATAAAGTGTGTGTGTATATACAGAAATCAGGTAAAATGGCAACTTTCTGTAAATCGAAGTGATGGGTATATGCAACTTTTGTGAAGCCTTGAAATTTTTCAAAAACTGGAGCAAAATTTTTTAAGAATTTCAATTTTGATGAGTGATTTTACTCACCAACTAAGTTACTAACCTAGTTCTATAGATGCCAACAACATGCAGCTCAGTGCAGGTACCAGGATGAAAAGGCCCGGCGTGTGCTTTCCCTTCCCAATGAGAGCATTTACGCCTACAGACTCAGGGCTTCCCAGGAAAAGCAGGTCATACCATACTTAGTGCTGTGCGCCCTGCTCTGAAGTCCTAATTATACACAAATGTGATGACAGTAGGAGGTACAATCCAGCCCAGGTTCTCACCTTGATGTCAGCACCTGAAAGATCATCTTTAGCCATGATCAAGTCGTCCAGGGTTACATCATCGGCCAGTGTCATCCTGCTTGTGTGGATCTGAAAGATGCGCTTCTTGGTCTTCTCATCAGGCAGGGGGAACTCTATCTTCCTGTCAATGCGGCCTGCAGGTGTAAAAGGTTTGTCAGTCACACCCATGCAGCTCCCAGACTCTGCCCTGGCTCAGGAAAAGGCCTTACTTAGCCCCTCTCTTCACACATTCTGTTTCAGACAGTATCCTGTGGGAAGGCTGTCCAAATATTAAAAAGTGGGCATTCAGCTTTGTAGTTTGTAAATGTCTACATTTGAGTTCATACCACTTAAAATCCTCTATGCTCGTACCTTCAGAAACAAGTGAAAGTAGTTTCTGACTGGCATGGTTAGTGAACAGGTCAGTTGTGTTAAAAGTAAAAAGATTAGCTACTGCTTCTTTTGGTGTCACCTCAAATGTAAAAACTGAACCTGAGCTATCATAATGAATTATTTCTTTAAACAAAGCTCGAGGCTAAAAATGGAATGTTCATTATGGGAAACAAAGATCCTGATGTAAGACTGGAATTCAAAACTGCACAGACTACATGAGAAAGAAGTTTTGGTTAACTTATTCTAATTTTCAATATAGTATTTGTCTTCATGTGTATCATTTTATAATCCCCCCTCCAAAAATGACTTGAACACAAGTACATATAAGCACATGAATTCTCCGTGATGAAACAAGAGCGAATCTGACCTGGTCTGATTAGTGCTGGATCCAGAGTTTCTATTCTGTTTGTGGCCATGATAACTTTCACATCTCCCCTTGAATCAAATCCATCCAGTTGGTTCAACAGTTCCAACATTGTTCGCTGAATTTCTCTCTCCCCACCAGAATTTGAGTCATATCTTTGGAAAAGAGAAAGAGAAGGAATGAAGACCCAATTGATCTGCTCAAGGAGAAGAATTAGAAAAAACACCTCTATCTCAACTCGTGTTACACCCTCAACTATTCTAGCAAAAAAATCAGTATACCCTCCGCACGGCCAAGATACACATCACATTATTTTCTTCATAACAGTTTGAATAAATGATAGAATTTCAGGCATGAAGTCTCCATATTTGGTGTCTGATCCAACTTGACTGAGCTCTGTGAGGGGAGACCCCTACCCCCTAGATGTGTCCCCAGAGTCCAGATGGTACCTGGCTCACAGTGAGAGCTCAAGGCTCAAGAAATTCACAGCTTCTGGGTAGCTGCTACCCTGAGTTTGGGAGAACAGAGCCTAAAGCATTCACAGAGAAGCCATGTATAGTAGAAACTGGCAAACCAACATGCAGGCCATACAGGGAGTGCCAATGAGCATTCATTCTCAGAGAAGAGCTATATGGTTTTCACCTTTAAATGACACAAAATAGGTAAGAGGAAGTTTACCTTTTTGTTCCAATTGCATCAATTTCATCAATAAACACAATGGAGGGTGCGTGTTCCTCAGCAACTCGAAACAATTCCCGAACAAGTTTGGGCCCATCGCCTAGGTACTTCTGAATAAGTTCAGAGCCAACCACTCTCAAGAAAGTGGCTGACGTCTGGTTTGCTACTGCTTTGGCTAATAAGGTTTTGCCTATTTTAGATTAAAAAAGAAAAAGAAAAAACTTCAAGTTTTAACTTAAAAACTGTCACTGCCACTTTTAAATGGATATCAAAAAGGACAGCTCCCTATGATGAAAAGGTATGCTACCAGATGTCTGGACATTGTTTCACAAAGCAGGTAAGAGGAAATTTGGAAAAACCTAAACATTTTGATAATTTTTAACTAATTTCCTAAATTCATCATGATGTCAGAAAATACTTTTTGTTGGGTTATTCAAAGTTGCATACAATATTAACCTGACCTACACAGCCAGAGTTAGAGAACAAACCTCAACTCCTAAGAAACTATCAGTGATGCTAAAGGATTTGGGAATCCCAGGTTTGACCTAAGAAAACTCAGTGTGCTGAGCAGCAGGCCGCAGTAGGCCCCAGGGATACCGGAAGAGGAGCTGTTGGGCAGGCTTACGACAGGCTGAGGACTGAGACAGGACCAGCTCCAGATGCCCACAGCTAGGCTGCTGACTTTTCAGCTGGTGGTGTGCCCTTACAGGGAAGTGCCTCTCACCAACCTTGGGGAAGATCTCAAAACGTTTCCAGTTCTGCTCTATTCCCTGATATTCCTACTTCAGATCAAAAACAACAGTCAGCAAAGGGCACCGAATTTGAGAACTTAAGAGCTGGAAGACCTTGGCCCTTTTGGTGGCGAGTGAGGATGTGGGCAAAGGGGTGGGCGGTTGCCTCAGGACAGAGGCAGAGCTAAAGGACCAACCTAAGGCCTGCAGGGGAGAGGAGGAGGCTGCCGGTGAGTGACACACAAGACTGTACGAGCAGGGAGGAGGACAGGGTGCTAAGCTTTCCAACAAAATGAGGCAATGATGTTCCCTTTTGCCGGGCAGGCAGATGGGCAGGTGCAAAGACTCAGAAGGCAGGACTGTTCCCTGAGAGCATCACTTAAGGATGGTAAAGAGAAGACAAAAAGGACCTTCTATGTGGATGACTTCTTAAGGTATAAAACAGCCAAGTGGAGCTGCCTGGAGACTTCAGTGGCCAGAGGGATCACTGAATCAAGCTCTTCCTCCTCCTGCTGAGCCTGCCATCCCGTGCTTCACCCCAGCTTCTCCTATTCCAGTGCACATGCCCCAAAGGCAGCCCACAGCTGCCGGTCGGAAGGCCGGCATTCTAGCTCCAGTCTTGTTACCAGCTCAACTCCCAGAGCCACTGGGGCATTCGGTTAGTCACTAGTCTCCCTGAAACTTAATTTCCTGAGCTGTAAAAAGAAGAGCTGCAAGAACAATGTGCTCTGAGTGCAGCTGTCTCCTGGGCCCTCCAATGTGGGCAATCCTATTATCCCAAGATTCTCTTTGGAACACAGTTTCAATTCAAACAACTGCTTTTCCTTTGGAATTTACATGGCAATGACCTGCTAAGTCCTGGGCTGAACAATTTAGGTCAACTTACTGCATGATGACCCAAATATGTACATGTTTTATCTTCATCTGTTTATCCAATATTAGGTTCACTCATTACCAGTGAACCAAACAATGAACCTAATCTGAACAGTTTTTATGTCTGGTTGTCCACCATGCCTCTGATGCTTGGCCACACTCTCAGATAACTGCCAGAATCTTCTGGAATGGGACCAGACAAATGCTGCTGAGCGAGAAGGTGAATGTCAGGAAACGTGTGAAACACAGAGCATACATACCTGTACCAGGTGGACCATAAAGAATGACCCCCTTAGGGGGCTTTATACCCATCTCTTCATAATATTCTGGATGAGTGAGAGGAAGCTCCACAGATTCCTAGAGAAAATAAACACTTGGTACAAATGACTTTCTTAATGAAATTATTATTATGGCATCCTGAGTACATCTTGTTTTCAACAATAAGCTAAAATTTACATTACTCTTACTAGAGGCAAGGATACACTAAAGAGGACCTCTGTCTACTTGAGCTCCCTGCACCCATCCCCATTTCCCTTTCACTTTCCAGAAGTCAGCCTTGAGCAACATTTAAGTTCTTCCTGAGTAAAGGAACTTAAGAAAGCTAGAATTCACCCTTTTCAATTAAACTACAAACAAGAGCGAGCAATATTCTGACTATTACCATGGAGGAACATGATGGCTTTTTCCCAGATGTCTGAGAGGTCACCAATGGAGACTGGTGATAACTCTGAATGATTTTCCTACAGATGAACAAATGTGCAGAAGCCTGACCCACAGTCATCCTGAAAGACCCACTGCTCCCCAGTCCCCAGGGTTGGGATTATGTTCTGGACCTCACCACTGTATGTGTGCATGCCACTCACCCTACCCCCATGCAACACCGGACATTTCCAGATAGCCACTGCTGAAGTCAACAAAACTGGAAACATTACATATAAAAAGTAGGCTGCAGCTGCTGCAAGAACTAACATACAATTTGTTCTTTCTCATACCTAACTCAGTATTAACAAATACAGACACCACAACTGGCAGGCTCTCAGTTACTGGTCTGTCAATAAAGAAAAAGCAAAACATGCAAAACCACTCTGAGCACCCTAAATAAGACAGCAGTAGGACACCAAAAGCCTAAAAACCCAGAACTGTTTCCTAGACATACCTTAATTTCTTGGATTTGGTTGTCCAACCCCCCAATATCAGCATAGGTCTCCTGGGGGGCCTTTTCCACCTTCATCACTGTTACCAAGGGATCTGTGTCATCCATCAGCACCCCTATCACGGCATGCACCTAACACGGAACAGTACAGTAAGCTTTGAGGCACAAAGGTGAGGTTCACACAATCCGGTTACAACAAAGCAATGCCAATCATACAATTTCCTTTACCGCTCAGAGTACTTTGGCAATTTACTTCTACCGGCCAAGTGGGCAAGTCTAAGAGAAAGGAAAATGTACTCCTACAGGCTTTCTTAGAGACCATCAACTTACCTTGTGGTTGAGCAGGACCGAGCAGCCTGGTTCCAGCAGATCCTTGTCTACAAACGAAAGAATGCTGACGTAGTGTTCTGAGCCCACAGATGTAGACACGATGGCATGATTGTCGTCAATGATCTCTTCCAAGGTTCCTACTGACATCGGGGTTCCCCTCAGATCATCCACCTTTGATCTCTCCTCCTACATAACAGTAGGCCGTGCAAGAAAAGCAGATTAGGCCTAAAATGTAGGTGGTGCTGACAGTTCATTAGGTTTACAAAGCAGTTGGTACTTTTAAAAGGCAGCTAATAATGATCTGTAAGAGCCTGAAAGGATCTTGGATTGCATTTATTCAGTGACAGTTTTAGGTACTAAGAATTATTTTTTTACATGAACGTTTCAGTAATTTTTCAATTTACCTCTTGTTTTTCTTCTAAAGGCTTCATTTGTTCCTGATTTCTAATGAATTCTTCCTCCATGAGAAGGTAGTCTTTAATTCTCTCTAACTTCAGTAATTTTAACCGGCACTGCGTGTGAGGTGTCACTGTAATTTTAAAAAGTTTCATTATACTTGGAGTTTGAAGTTTGCAATTAATTCAGTTCATTCTTTAGTGAAAAAAAGTTAATACTTAAAAAGTTAAGATTATTTTACTTGGAGAGACTAAAAATTTCAAAGTTTGGTGCAGGTACCCAAATGCAAAAGGAAAAGGGATTTTGGCAGTTCTAAGTGAGCATGTAAAAATGGGGATGAGGTCTGTGATAAACAGCTAATACAAAATGACGTGTTCACTGACCTGTGTATATATAAAGAAAAAAACCCCATTGACCAAAAGGTAGTGCTTTTCAGCCCTAATGCACTGTTGCAGGCTAGCAGTAACACATCCATTTGTTGAAGGATTGTGAAATATTAGGATTATTAACATGCCTTGAACATTTTTTCCACTCTTTTGTGTCTTTTCTTTTGGCTTGAAGTCTTATCCAACATAGATAGGAATTTTAATATTTATGTAGGCAAATCTGTCAATCTTTTGTGGCTTCTGGGTTTCCTGGCTTCAAAAGGTCTCTCTGGTAAGGCTAAATATATTCCTGAATTTTCATTTATTTATTTTCATATGTATATCTGTAATCCATCTGGCAAAAAGGGGTCTAATATTTTCTTTCAACAGCAATTATATTAATTGACCTATCTTCTTCCCACAGAACTGAAATGTCATCTTAACCATGTATTCACTCCATGTAACTTGACTCTGGTTTTAGACTTTCTCTGCCTTTCTGGCAACCTGATGATCTATTCTCTACTGGTATAATGCTGATTCATAATGGCAGATCAATGGCACCTTTTTTACTATCTGACTCCTTTCGTCCTTAACTAAGTAATATTTTAAAGATTATTTCACCTAAGCAGGAAGGGATTTATTTAGCTGGGGAATGGGAGGTATGGCACTGAAGCCTGAAGGGATGAGGAGCAGGCAGCCACGGGAAGGACTGGGCAAAGAACATTTTCAAGTAGAGGGAAGCAGAGGGCAAAGGCTGTAACGTGTGGAAGAGTCAGAAGAACACGAGGCAGGGCAATGTCAACAACAAGGAGCGGGGCAGGCACTGAGGGTGGAGGTGGGCTGCGTCAGGTCGCCTGCATGAGTGTTATGTGTTCAGTAGAAATCCACTGAAAATGTTTATGTTCAGGCATCACATGGTGTGAATCCCAATGAGGTAGCATACCATTTCCTCATGACGTAAGTGTGTTTCTAAGTTATTCAAGCTCAATCTGTGTTTTCTAATATAAACTCCTTTAAGTCACATGAGGAACTGGTTTTTAAAGGAAATTAATGGAACTTCTTAAAGTGAGACAGTCATATACTGTGTACTGTTAAAACCAAAATAGAGCTTTTGTTCCAGCCTAGAGGAATGCCCCACACAACAGTTAGAGAATGCAGTCACAGAGTTAGAGCCTCAACAACCCATCTCCAAACTCAGAGCCCTAAGTTATGTACAGAGCTGGTTCCCCTAGGAATCAGGAGACAGCAAAGAGGAACCAGGTCATTACCCAGAGGCAGTTTGCTGGCAGCATCTGGTCCCTTTGTTTTCTTCTTCTTTTTCCCCACTCTAGTTGGTACAGGAGGTTCATATTTCTTTTTCTTGTCCTTGAGTTTTTAGAAGAGCAGGAAAAAAGTCACATGGAAGTAGTGTCAAAACAAAAACTTATTTCTGTGGGACTATCACCTATTTCCAGGTGGTATAATTTCACTTATCTTTTAGGATGCCATTAAAAACTCATTTTAAAAAACCTAGGTTTTAATTTCCTGCAACTTTAACAGGTGAATATAACTGATCTTTCTTTTTACAATACACAATATAAATTATTCAACAAGGAAAAGAAATCAGAATTCAGAATTATATACCAAAAGCTTAAACTGAAGTACTGTGAGACAATTCACATCTCAGGATATTAAACACTAAGATTATAGGCAATTTCTTTTAACACTGTAATGTTAATTACTTTTACACATTTAAAAATCATTAATTCACAATCATCTACTTGACAGTTAGGTAATAATCTTCCCTAAAAACATGAAAAGGGTCCTACTGTATCTGTGGGCCAAGCTGGTTACATAAGCGTGGAATCGTTTATTTTACATTTTTCAGTTCATGCATCTCCAGAGAGCTCAGCTGGGAGCTGCATTTCTCCACAATTTACTCACATCACAGAGATATCTGGCTTCTTATTTACCTTGTCATCCTTTTTGCCACCTCCCGGACCATGACCACCACTCTGACTTTGACCCTGAAAAAAAGAGGTGTAAACTCAGAATATGATCACTTTAAAAGAACATCCTTATTATTTTTCTGTGATTGTGAAGCTATTTAACATGGTAGAATTTTTTTTCCTGAGAAGCTGTTAGATCAGTCATGTACCTTGCAAGTGACTGCATCTTAAATCAAGGACAGCTCTATTAAGAAACAGATATAACAGGTGTATTATAATGAAGCTGAAATTCTAATACCACCCTTTCTGGTGGGGAAGGTACTGGAGCTTGACATTCTTTAATAGAAAACTACCTGACTGAGGCCACCAAGAATGTATTTCATGAATTTAAGCCATAAAAATTCAATCATTTTACCTATTCAACAATCATTTGTCAGTTATTTGCTCCTTACTAAGATCACACCAAGACCCTGAAGACTTTCAAAAGCAACTTATAACCAGAAAGCATGGGGCCGTTGGGCAGGTCTTTCTTTCCAACCTGAAAAGCTGAAGCACCTTAAGGTATCAGGTATGAGTGTATTAAGAAGCCCAGTGGGATTTCTGATTTAAAGGTAAGACCCTTCTGTTACAGGACAATGCTTAACACAGAGCAATGTTTCAGAAATGATGGCATTTTAAACAAGTAATAGTGTACTTGATTAGAACCCTCTCAGTCCCCTCAAATCACTTTCATGTAGGCACCTCTAAATGAATATACTAAAAGCTTCATTATCAAGACAAAATAACATATCATGGTTACCTGTAAGAGTTAAGGTCAAATATATTTCCCTACATGCAAGATTCTTAAAACTTTGTGCTTTATTCTGAAGAAGCTAATAAAAGGCTCTGAGAAATTTTAGGAAACATATTGCAAAAGGCAGGAAATCTGTTGGTTGGGGCAGCGAATGTTTGTGAGATGCTTACTATGTGCCTAAGTTTGTGCTAGACATTTTCCTTTTCTGTGTCATTAATTCCACATGGTCCTTCAAGGTGGGATTCATTATTCCCAACTCCTAGATGAGGAACTGTATCAAGCTTACGAACATGGGCTGTGTAATTAGATGCATCCAGGTTTGAATTCCAACTCCATCACAAGGCTGTGTGACCTTGGGTAAGTCAGGTCACCTCCCTGAGCCTGGTGTCCCTGACTGGAAAACAGGGTTGATACCACCTCCTATCAGTTGCTGAAAATGAAGTAAACCCCTTGCACTTTGCATGACTCATAGTAACTACTCACCAATACAACATTATTGGTGAATAAGAAATGTTAGAGTCAGGATTTTAATTGTCAGTCTGGTTACAAAATCTGGGCTCCAAACAAATCCATTCTGGTTCAGCTCTTCACTCGCTTTTGTCTATCCCCTATCTCTGTTTTTGTCCAGGCCATCATATCTTATTTGAATTCTAGCCTCCCAACTGAGATTCCCAGGTCCAGTTTCACCCCTCAGCAGTCCAGCTATTATCTTCTAAAACAAAAAGCTGATCCTTTAATTCTCTTCAGAAATCTTCAACTGCTCCCAAGCATTTGTAGTTAATGTCCAAACTTTAGTATGGCATGCCTGGCCCTTGCCAATCTGGCTGCAACTAACCTTCCCTATTTACCTTACCCATCATTTACCTTTCGCATGATCCTGCAAGTCTGGTCCCACTGAAGAACATTTTCCTGAATAGGTTCCAAACTTCTTCATGTCTGGGGCTTTTTACATGATGTTTCTCTGCCTCAAATAGCATTAACAAGTGTACCCATTTTTGAGCCCTTACTATAATGTCAGTGTGCCAAACAATCTCAGGATATCATCTAGTTTTTGCAGACATTATGAGATTGGTACTACCATTACCACTAGGTTTACAGACAAGGAAACCGAAGCCCAGCAAAATTAAGTAATTTGCTTATTGTCATAAAGCTTGCCATAGATATTGTCAGGAATCACTCAGATCTCTTGGACACTGTATCTGTGTTTCTCTACTGCATGGGTATCTAGTACATCACAGCAAGGATTCTAGAAAAGACTGACAGCTTTGTGTTCCAGCACAACCGCTTACTGTATCTCAGTTGCCTCTTTGGTTAAAGTGAGGATAATACTTATGTCAAGAGACTTGTGAAGAAAAAGAAAATGCTGGAAAAGTACCTGGCACATGCTTACCATGCCTAGCATATTACCCGAAAGTTCTTGTAAGACCTATAAAATTATTTGGTCTGGCCGCCTTGATGTTCAAGAGAGGCTGAACACGTTCCCATCTCAGGCGCTCTGCACCTGCTTTTCCTCCCGCCAACACCACGTTTCCCTCAGATATTTGCAAAGGCTACTCTCCCAGTTAGATCTCAGCTCAAACCCCGCCCCCTAAGAGACTTCGCCGACACCCTACTTAAAATAGTCATCCCGCCCCATCTTATCCCTCTCTACAGAACCCCTATATAACAATGGCCACCCCATCCACCTATGTCCCGCTCTCCGACATCGTATTACATACTTCTTTTTCTATTTTGTGTCTGCCTGCTCTAGAACGTAAGCTCCTGAAGGCATAGATTTCGTCAATCATGCTCATCCCCTGTGCCCAGAGCACAGCCTGGGCAAAAAAGAAAGTGCTGTTGCTCAATGAATACTTGCTAGTGAACTAACGAATAAACGCTAGTTGCCTTTACTATCACTAACGACTCACGAGAGCTTTCCTTCCGAGTTCCACCTGGCACAGGAGCGTCACTCCAACGCTTCGTCCAAGTGCCCCCGCGGGAGCGGCCTGCCGCGCCTGCAGCCCTGCTCCCCAGCTGAACGACCCTCTCCCCCCGTGGCTGCGCATCCCTTCACCGAGCGGCTCGGCACTCGCCCCAGGAACTTCCCGCGCAGCTCGGCGGGGCCCGCCCGGGTCGGCGGAGACGCAAAGCCGCGCGGCCCGGCCCGCTCAGCAGCCCCCAGCCCACCCGGAACGCCCTTCGCGCCGAGTCCCGGCCCCAGATTCCCAGGCCAAGGCCCGCCGGTCGGCCCCGGTCCGCGGCGGACCTGGGCGCCGTCTCGGGGGCCTCCGTCCCCCCAAGAAGACCAGGCCGGCGGGTGGGGAAGCGGGCAGACCGAGTTCCTCGGCAGCTGCCCGTTCTCTCGCCTCGGGCAGCTCGCCTCAGTCGCACCGCGACCATCAGCCGAAACCCTTAGTCACTCACCATCTTGCTGCGGCCGCCCCGGTCGCCGCTGCCGGAAGTGCACCTACGGAGCCGGCCCCTCAGAAGTGGAAGTTGCCAAGGGACGCTACGGAAGCTGATAGGAGCCAAATCCCGCGTGAACGAAGTCGTGCTCCCCGCGGCCATTGAACTGGCAGGTTGCAGCAACGATGAAACTTACAAGCAAGCTGTGAACCTTATACAAATATTCAAAGAACAAAGCGATTGTGAAAATATAATAAATTTTAAATAAGCAAAAATCATAATTGGGAAGAACTTTACTTTGGCTCCAAGAAATAGGATGTAATTGGAATTGTGAGGTTGACACATACTTTTGCATCAACATTCAAGTTACCTGGTTTCTGAAGTTAACCTGCTCATCTAAGAGTATTTCTTTGTCTAATGAATCACCTAAATCTGTTTCTTTTTTTCTGACGCCTTGTGATTTATGATGATGCCAAATATCGTCTTAAAATCCCTCTTCTTGCACGTAGTTGGTAAATGTCATCATTTATTACATCTGCCAGGATGTTGGAAAGATGGCAAGCGTCCCTTTGGCCTCTTGCAACTTCCATAACAGGTGTCCAAAATGGTGCATCTTGCTAATTTAGACGGATTTGTTTGATTTTTATTTTGTTTTGTTTTGCTGCTTCTGATTAATTCGTGCATCTTAGATTGTGGGAACACTAAAAATGACGCTAACTAACACACAATAGTTACAAAATACATACAGGAAATTACCTCTTCCTTTTCATCATCACTAAAGTATTGCAATAGAAAGTCCCGGCACTGTCGACCTCCACTATCAAATCTGGCTTCTATATGGGTTCAGGAAACAGTATGATAAGTTAGGAGAAAGACAACTCTTCTTTCTTGAATGCCGAAAGCAGTGCCAGAGTTGTGTGGAATGTCTAGGCAATCTGTGTATACCGGAGAAGTGCAGGGTTCCTGATACAGTGTCACATTCAAAGAAAAATAGGCTGATAATCAGAACTTAAGACTTAAATTCTGGATGGCATGCATTAAGAAGTGCTTTAATGCACAGCAAACATGTTCAATTCTTTCATGACCCTCTCAACGTTCTCCACCCGGCTGACAGCCACCTCTGCAACAATTCCTCTTGCAACTTCCAATCCCCTCCAGCACCCAGTGCTCCAAGCAGTCTTTCTGCCCCCTCCTTGCTTTCTCTTAGTTATTCTTATCTAAATCTAACTTCTCTGCTCTCCGTAGTTTTAGCTACAGGTTACCAATTTCTTGGATCTCTCTGAGAAAGGAGGCACAGGAACTGATCCAGTCAGGTAATATACTTCTGCCTTAGAAATAAGGGGTGGGGTTGGGAAGAAGATGGGAGATTTTGAAGAGTCACCTTAATTACCTTTGTCTTTGGTACATGCGGAAGTCTTTTTTTTTCTTTTTTGTAATTTGCCTAGGCTTTGTTTAGACTATCCAGGAATTTAAACATAGTTTCATATTTCACAATAATGTATACATATATTTATAAATGTATGGTTGTATATGTATTTACACATATGCTTGTGTCTGAGTATGTGTGTATATCTATTCTGTCTCTTTCTGTGTACACATACACGTGGACAACCTACAAATATCCACAATTGAACTTAGCCATCTTCCCTTAGGACCTGTTTACCCCTCATGTACATTCTGTTCTGGCTAATATACAACAGGCAGAGACCCAAGCCAAAAGCCCCCCCTTCTCCCTCTCCCATTCCCAGCCTGCTCAGTGGTCAAGTCTTGTCACTTAACTCCACCATGTTTCATCCTCCCATGTCTCTTTCCATCACTGCCTAGTTCAGATCTCGTTATCCCTATCCCATCTCACAGTTCATCCAGCAAACAATTTCTGAGCAGTTACCAACATGTGCGGCTCTCCTCCAGGGCCTGGGGATACTGCAGACAAAAATCCTTTCCCTAATGGATTTCACAATACACAACTAACTAAGTAAAACATATAGTATGCCACATGATTGATAAATGCTTTGGGGAAAATTACACAGGGAAGAAGGGGAGGAATAGTGCAACCATGGTGGGTGGTGGTTCTGACTTTAAATAGGAAGATAGCTGAGTAAAACGCTGAAGGAATGAGACAGGGAGCTATTCAGATATTGAGGAGAAGAGCTTTCCGGGGAGAAAGACGAGTCAGTGCAGAGGCCCTGGGTTGGGAGCAGTGAAAGTGGAGACTAGAGACTGTGCAGCAAAGCAGTAAAAACCAGATACATAAAACTCTTGATGGAGGCAGGGGCTGGAGTCAAAGCAAGAGACTAGGAGATTTGGGTATCGGAACACCTGGGTCTGAATCTGGACTCCATCACCTACTAGCTGTATGGTTGCTTACTGCTGCTGTAAGAAATTACCACAAATCCAGTGCATTCCTTTTTGGAGGCTCAAAAGGAGCCTCCCTCGCTTTTCCAGCTTCTAGAGGCCACCTGCCTTCCCCGGCTTTTAGTTCCTTCTTCCACTTTAAAGCCAGCAGCCGTTGACCCTGCTTCTGCCATCACGTTGCTTTCTCTGCCTCCCTCTCACACTTTTAAGGACCCTGGCAATTACAACAGGCGCACCCAGGTTATCCTGGAGAATCTCCGGTTCTTCAGGTCAATTGATTAGCAACCATAGTCCGTCTGTCACAGTTCCCCCATACCATGTAACCTAACATGTTCACACGTTCCAGAGACGAAGACGTGGACATCCTTGGGGAGGCCATTATTCTTCCAAACACACTAGCTCTTCAAACACAGGCATGTCACCTTCCTCTCTATGCTCAGTTCCCTCGTATGTTCAAGAGGACACCAACGGTACCTCACATTTGATCCTTGCCTTCCTCAGGCCACCGTGTCGATGAGCAGCGCTGGTGGGAGAACAGAGAGCCGGAGATGGAGAAAGCTGGAACATTTCTCCCTGCCTTTTGGCCCTGGTGCCCAGGGCAGCAGCTGCATGTCCATTGGGGCACCAGTGCTCTCCCATCAGGATGGCAGCTCCCAGAGTGACAGAGCCCCGGGCTCAAACCTCCCTTTGTCCCCCGCAGGGGTGACAGAGACTTCCTGCTCTTGCTAATCGCCAGGCTGCCTCCCGTTCTGTGAAGGCCCATCGTGACTGGCATGAAGTCTCTCACTGCAAATGCGCAGAGTGGCTTCTGAGGTTCTGGCAGGGCCCTGGCTGAGGCAGCTTCCGAGAGGAGGCAGGACTTTGGTCCTGGAACCCCTGGCTTCAGTGCAGGAAGCTACCTCAGAGGTCTTCTAGCTGGGCACGTGTTAGGAGCTCCTGCAGTATTTGCTGAATTGGGCTGACAGTCATGTCTTCCTCCATTTCATCTATCTATGGATGGATATGCCGTTGTTAGAAGGACAGGGTTTGGCATCAATTCTTTCCTTATTTGTTATTTTATAAATGTGTGGGATGAAAATCCTTGTTTGCATAAATGGGAAAGAATTTAGTAATGGAAACTTGATTCTTTTAAATCCTGAGTCATATGCCAAAAAATGACATAATGATCCATTAGCAAAAACTGCTATTAATGATAGCTTGAAGTCTTTCTCCCACATGATTGGAAAGAACTGGAAAACATTGGATGCACAGAAGGATCTGCTATCGAGTCAGGAGAGCCATTCACTTTCACGCCCAAAGTCTTTACTACAAGGTATCAAAACATGATCCATCCTGTTGTGATCCTTCACTCCAAGGCCCTTTGTTAAATAATTTCAAAAAGGGTTGGGAAATTTTTAATATCATTATACTTTTGATAATCGAAATATTTTTCATACGGTTTTTTAAAATCACATAACCTCCTTTAAACATTTTTTATCAAAAAGGAGCAGCAAGAGAACCAAGATGGTGGTATGAGTAGAGCAGCGGAAATCCCCTCCTAAAAGCATATATATTTTTGAAAATACAACAAATACAACTATCCCTAAAAGAGAAACCAGAGGACACAGGACAACATCCAGACTACATCCACCCGTGAGAACCCCGCGAAGGGGGTAAGATACAAGCCGCGGCCGGCGGGACATGAGCGCCCCTCCCCCCAGCTTCCGGTGGGAGGAGTCAGAGTGGGGAGGGGGAGGGAGCCCAGGACTGCGCTGAACACCCAGCCCCAGCCATCCACACCAGAGCGCAGACACAGTGCATGCGTGGGGTCCTGGATACTAGGGAAGCAGGACAGTAAGACCTGTGAGTGGGTCCCCGCAGCCGTCGCACCTGGGACAAAGAAAAGCGAGTGCTTTTTGAAAGTCTTAAAGGGACAGGGCCCCCACAGCTGGATGGAAGCGTCCC